CCGACCACCCTGCGCCAGCCTGGGCTCCTCTCTCCCCGGGGCCACAGCTCCTGCCAGGAGCCTGCTCCAGCGCGGGCTTCCCCTGGGGTCCCAGCCTCCTTGGGGCACATCCCCCTGCTCCGGCGTGGGCTCCTCCCCGGGTGCAGGGGAATCTCTGCTCCCCCGTGGGCCTGGAGCACCTCCTGCCCTCCTTCTGCACTGACCCTGGGGTCTGCAGGGCTGTGCCTCTCACATATGCTCACTCCTCTCTCCCACTGCAGTTTGTGTCCCGGTGGTTTTTTGGGTTGGTTGGTTTTTTTTTCATCTTCTTAAATATTTTCCCCCAGAAGTGCTACCACCGTCGCTGATCGGGGCTCAGCCTTGGGCAGCAGTGGGTCCGTCTTGGAGCTGGTTGGCACTGGCTCTATCGGACATGGGGGAAGCTTCTGGCATATTCTCACAGAAGCCACCCCTGTAGCCCCCCGCTACCGAAACCTTGCCACGCAAACCCAAGATAGGTTAGTATTAGTGATGTCATGAATTTTTGTTGTTTCGTATGTACAGTTATCCAGTCTGCTCACTGCAAACTTCTTAGCATTTTCACATTGAGTTTCTTGTACATTATTGGATTTAATAATTTGTACTGTATTTCAAACATAGGCCTGTTTTTATGTAATGTTTCTTTGCATGTAAATAAAATACATATTTAAGCAACTTTGTTGCTATTGAAATAAATACTTTTTCAACCTACTCTTTCATCGTCTATATCAAGCCTACTTTCCAACTCATTCCTTAGCCTCTGGGTTCACAGACGTGCTCCATCCTCAGGTATGCATTAGCATCCTTAATCCAAATCCCTCCATAATAGTAGCATTTATTAGAAGTATCTAAAAAATTCTCCTCTCTGGCTTTTCACACGAATCACTAAATCTGCTAACACCTTGCTTGTATACACCAACAAATTCCAAGCATCCTGCAAAAGCACCGTGTAAACTCAGGAGGGAGAGGAAAACCGAGGCGGGGGGAAGTCCAAAACAACAAAGGAACCACAACACTATCCAAGCCTATTCTGGTCTTGGGAACAAAAACCCTAATCCTTATGGCAGAAAATAAGTATGAATTCCTAAAGAGCAATGCACTGTGGATCCTTCCCTCAGTAAGTCACTTCAGTGAACCTTCCACAGCACTCAGTCCTGGCCGTACCATAAGGAATTAGCCCATTTAGGGGGTACTGTTCAGCCAAGGAACAAGCAGATGAGTCTCACCAGTGTCTCAAACACAACTGTGCAATACCCACATGTGTACAAAGTTGGAGGAAACAGCCTTAAAATGGCAGTGTGTATGCCAGTAGTCCCTATAGCCAATCTACCAGCACCAAACAGCGTAACTGTAGCCGTTTGGATGATAGGTGGCAATAAATTTCTCTGTCTTAAGAAAAGTTCTCACATGGCTGTACCGTTGCTCTAGCTCTGCAGTAAGCTGGAGGATGAGCTCTTTCCAGAAGCCCATCGTCACCCTGAAGGCCTGTCCCCGTTGCTGGTTATCCCTTGTTTGCAGCACCACCTGTTCTGGGAGGTCAACCACCAAGCAAAACTGTGCTCAGGATAGGAAGGATCTTACCAAGGGATGACAAACTGGAGAGAAACACTGCCAGCTCTGGATGACACGATTAGGCTCTGTAGGTAGGGAAGCCCTTATTCGCAGCAGGCACAGACGTAACCATGGGAGGAACTGCTTCATGAAGTCAATGAACTCAACTAATTTTTCAGCTCCCTTTCAAATAAGCTTAAAAAAAAACCAGCTTGCTATGCACAACAGAATAGAAACTGATACGTGACTCCAGTTAGAGATTGTAAATAATGCCTTACTTTAAATTAAACATACCTGTGTCCTACCACATATAAATATATTCAATTTCTGCTTTCCTAATTTCTCATAAATGAATTCACAATATCTTCCAGGTTTTATAGATTAATGACTCTCAATTTTAACTTGCAAATGTCAGTGCCAGTTTCAGTTTAAATTTAAAATAAATATTTTTCTTTTTTTAAAACCATAGAATCATAGAATCGTCTAGGTTGGAAAAGACCTT